TGACACCATGCAAATTCAAAAATTACACAGTAAAAGAAATTTATTTTATTTTTTAATTAATTTCGGAGTAGTTTTTCGTTAAAGCAAAAATCACGTGCTCACACTAATCAAACCAGTCAGTAGGGAAGAAGTGAAGCAGGAACTACTGGGCATAGATGACAACAAGGCCCCAAGGTGTAATGGTTATAATTCATACTTCTTTAAAAAACATGGCACATTGTGGGTGAGGAAATAAATGTAGCAGTGCAAGAGTTCTATGAGAATGCTGAAATGTGTAAGGCCATCAACTGCACAACAATCACACTGATTCCAAAAGTCCAAAACCCAACTAACATAAAATATTACACACCTATTTCATGTTGTACAGTTTTATACAAGATCATATCCAAAGTGATAACAACAAAAATGCAAGGAGTAATGGACAGATTGGTGGATAACTGTCAAGCTGTCTTTGTTCCTGGCAGGCTGATTACGGACAACATCTTAATGAGTTATGATCTAGTGAAAGGTTATAGAAGGAAGAGCATCTCCCTTAGATGTATGCTTAAAATTGAAATGCAAAAAGCATATGACTCTGTGGAGTGGAGGTACATTGAGCAAGTATTGAGGTCACTGAATTTTTCTGAAATCTTTGTGAGATGGATTATGATTTGCATTAGTATAGTGACTTATTCAGTTCTCATAAATGGCAGACCAACAGATCCTTTTGAGGCAAAAAAGGGACTAAGGCAGGATGATCCACTATCACCCTTTTTATTTGTTCTGGCTATGGAATATCTGAGCAGGTCATTGAAGACCCTAAAGAAGGACAAGAAGTTCAAGTATCATCCCAGATGTGCCAAGTTCAACTTAGTACAACTGGGGTTTGCAGATGATCTATTGTTGTTCTGTAGAGGGGAAGTGCAGTCAGTACAGATACTACACCAGCACTTTCAGAAGTTCTCTGCAGCATCAGGACTGGTTGTCAATCCAAATAAGAGCAGCATCTATTTTGGAGGGGTAAATCAGGTGATTCAGAAACAAATTATGGAGGTACTTGGGTTTAACAAGGGAGAACTGTCATTCAGATACTTAGGGGTCCCATTGAGTACCAAGAGACTATCAGCAATATAATGTGAGCCAGTAATTGAGAAAATATTGCACACAATTCAGAACTGGACAACAAAATACTTGTCATATGCAGGTAGAGTTGTCCTAGTAAAGAGTGTGTTATTTGCTATCCAAACATTCTGGGCACAGATCTTCATACTGCCTAAAAAGGTTATCCAATTCATAGAGACTATCTGTAGGAGGTTTTTATGGACAGGAGATGCTGAACCAACAAAGAAGGCCTTGATTGCTTGGGAGAGACTGTGTTCACCTAAGGCTGCAGGGGGATTGAATTTCATAGATGTGGAATTATGGAATGAAGTTGCTATCTGCAAATTGCTATGGAATATATGTACCAGGAAGGAGAAGTTATGGGTTCATTGGGTACATACCTATTACGTCAAAGGCCAAGCAGTGTGGAATGTAGAACCAAAGAATGCCTCTTGGGCAATACAGAAGATATTTCAGGCTAAGAAGTACTTCACAAGAGCTGGAATGACTGAAGATGATGTTCAACTAATGACAAAGGGCTCCATCAAAGGAATTTACAGATCTCTACAAGGTGTGTGTCAAAAAGTAACATGGATAAAAATAGTGTGCAACAATCAAGGACAGCCAAAATGGATATTCATATTGAGATTAGCATTACAGCAGAGGCTAGCTACTAAAGACAGGCTGATATGATGGGGGATAGATGTGGATCAAACATGCTTGCTATGCAATAAGGAGAATGAGACAATGCAACATATATTCTTCAAATGTGAGATTACAGGAAAGGTATGGGATGGTCTACTGAGATGGCAAGGAATCCAAAGATCACACAAAAACTAGCAGGATGAGATTGCATGGATGGAGAAGATGGCAAAGGGCAAGAGTGCAAGAGCAGCTATCTGCAGAATAACATTAGCAACTGCAATATACCACTGCTGGCAGGAGAGGAACTTCGTGACCTTTCAGAAGAAGAGAAGGACACAACTGCCTTAACCAAGCTTATTATACAAGAAGTTCACGTAAGGGCAGCTAGGTTCCCTTACCTAGATAAGGTGATAACTACTTTGAACTGGTATCCGGAAACTAGTTAAGCACAGAAAAGTAGGGGAGATAGAGGAAGAGATAGGAGAATGAAGACTAGATATCACCTTACTGGGGCTGCATGTCTAGTTGGTGATAGGCTAGACAGATTTTTGTAACAATTAGAAGAACTGTACATATTCTACTTGGTAATAAAAGTTATATTTACCAAAAAAAAAATGAGTTCCCACATAAAATACGCTTTTAATTGAAATTTTTTTACTTACCAACTACTACAATATTAACTCGTGATTCTATTCTCATACATAGACTGCCTGATAACCAAATCTCATAGATGAATATCTGCAAGAAGATTCAAATTTGCAAAATCAAAAACTAAATAGAACACATTCACTTTTATAAGCCACCAATATCGCAATTCATGATTCAATCTTAAGGTTCAATTTTTATCTTTAACAATAATATATTATTGAAAAAAGCAAAATTATTCATCTTTCCTAGAATCTCAAAATTGCATTTGGAACATAATCATACCAATGAACCTCAAAATACTTCTTTCAAGTGATTTGGATTCTTCACCATGTAAAAGACTGCATCACTGCAGTCATTCATTGCTTCAATGAATGGACTTGAAAAATCTGAAAAACATAAACACTAAACTTTATGATCAAACCAAAAATCACAATAAGAAACTTAGAATAGGAAAATAACCATCTCTAGTAATTTTGCTACATCTATGACACGAATATATTTAATTGCCTTCTCTTGATTAGTTTGACCACTTTTAATTTGGGTTCCTTTGTGATCTTGAGACTTCTAGGTAATCTTAGTACTCCTTCCTTCCTGAAATAAGAATCAGTCTTGAATCTTTTTATTTTTGCCTAACGAAAAATTTTAAACTTGAACATTTTTTTCCTTTTGTAAAATATATTCTTTCCATAAAATCAGCACTGTAGTAAATATTCTTTGCATAATTTAGTAATTCTTCATTGTAGTAAATATCTCCTAGATAGATTATTTCGTCTATATAATATTTTCCTTCTTTGTCCATTGAATTTGAATTCCCAAGATTGCTTCCCTTTCACGTTTTCTTTAATTTGCCAAAAGTATGCTTCCGGCCTAACTTTCCCCATTTATATAGTAAATTTAAAATCTTTTTAAGTTTTATCCTAAAAGTTCCAAGTAACTTTTTTTCACTACGCTTAATATGAAGCTTGACTATCTTTCTTTTAATATAATATGAAAAATATGAAAGCTATAAATATAAATTACAAATCAGTGATCATTTAGTTTTTTATGGCAACATAATCATATATATATGTAACATGTTTCGAAAAAAACTTTTTTCCGTCCATTTTTATGACAATATGAAATATTTTTTATATATTTTTCTCATTACCTAACAATTTGGCGAAAGTTGTATATTTCAAAAGAAAAAATTTAAGAATCTCTCTTGCCATTCTCTTAACTATATTAACTCAAAGCATTAATTCAAAAAATTCGG